CTGCATTACAGCCTCAAAACATTACGTCTAAAATGAAGTGAAATATGACTTAGAACTGCATCTGCATTATTTTTTTTTAACATCATTTTATACAGAAGACTATAGGAAATCCAATTTTTCAGCTTCTAAGATTAACAATCAGCTTGTATATGGCAACCATTTTACTTATTCATTCTCTGTAGATACATTTGTTTCTTTCATGTTTGTAACAAACACACATTTTTTAAATAATTCTCACTCAAAAACACCAATTGCATTAAATGTTTAATATGTATTCAACTGAAAGCATATGTTTATTTGTTTAATTTTTCTTCATTACTTAGTTTTTCTTTTTAAGATGATACTAATGTCAAATCCTTGTTTTGATTTCATTTTGAATTTTTAAAAAATTGCTAAGTTATTCCTTGCATTAAGATATTGATTCAATTTCAAAAACCAAGCCTATGTGATGATTAGACAAAGCAATACATAATGGCATTACTTTATCCACATCTTTTGTAGAAGCATCTATGTTTGTGAGTAGGTATTAAACCACCTTGATTAATTTTGGGAACTGCTAGTTAGACACCTCCTATTTGGTGTGTGGACATCCCTATGCCACACACTTTGGCATACACATACTAAAACTCTTACTTATGTTAAATAGTTTTAGAATAAATTTACAATAATTCTTTTGAATGAATTTATTTAGATTTTTAAAATGAATATAATGATTTCATAAAATTTATCATGAATTTCTTTAGCATTAAATAAAAAAACCACAAATAAAAATAAACAAGGAAGTAATAAATAAAATCTATAAATCATTGTACATAAATATTTCACTATAAATTTATCTTAAAACTTTTTAGTAAAATAAAAGACTTATGGTGTGTATACGAGGTATGTGGAACACAAGGGTGTATACTAAGTGTTTCCTTTAATTTTTATGTGAATAAACATATATTTTTTCTTTATATATATATATATATATATTTGGTTTACATTAAATAAAAGTAATGTTAAATAAGTTCTTATTTTGAATGGAATTGCAAATAAAACTTGTATATCACATATTTGCTATAAAACCACTTAAAACATTCAAGTATTTAGTGTTTTGCTACAAACTCAATTACAATCCTTATATTTCTCTTCCATCCTTCGAAATTGTTTTGAAGGTTTATATGTTTTTTTTAAAAAAAAAATGAAACTTTAACAATTATAAAAACATTTATTTGGAAAAAATTATATAGTTTTTTATTTTAATTTTTAGAAAAAATTATTGCAATATTTCAAAATAAATTCTATTTATATTATTTTAAAATATGTTATAAAGCCTAGAATATAAACTAAATAAAACTATAAATAAATATTCAAATAAAATCATATATTTTTTTCTTCAAATAAAAACTTTAAAATGTAAAATTTTCATCATTGAAATCTGTAGAAATTTGATCATATACGTACATATATAGATACATTCACACAGAGAGTTCTTATTTTCTCTTTTTATTTTTTTATAAATGAGCCTTGAATGAATTAATATAGTGTAATCTCAAAACAACGACTGAGTAGGGTTTCTCGTTGATATATAATTAAGTAAACAAGCATTTGCATCCAACAAAATATCATCTTTGAATATCTTAATTTTCCCCCATAAAAAGAATAAAAAACAATGATAACAATGCACTGCTGTGCAAAAAACTCGTGCATGCCAATAATTCACAAAGCTTGATGATAAAACCTGTTAAAAGTGAATCTTTTCATATCCATTCACATCGAAAAAATCAGGCCCCAAAATCTGACTGCAATATAATTATTCAAAACATAAATATTGTAAAGTAAATACATTATTTTATTTTGATAAATAACACTCGAACTCATGAGAGCACAAATGGTGCCTTCCAGATTCACTACTGGTGTGAACTTTATCGCTTCTTGTGCACAAACAAAACCAACACTCTCGTGATCAGAAGGATATTAATTTCCACTAAACTATACAATTACAATCAAATTCAAAATTAAATAAGGAAAAAAATTCAAATCAAACATATTTCCTCTGTTTACCTCTTCAGTCTTTGTTTTTCCACCACATTGCTCTTCTCCCACCTGCAATCCACCTCTCCTTACATGAGACATAGTTCGGCAGCAAGCATTCTACATGGAGAGTCAAACCTTTCGTGCATCCAGCTCAGAAACTTGTTCCAGAGAGTGTTAGCCATCGCTAAGTGCCAAAGCTTGAGTAACCAGCATGAGATCGAAAACAAAAACACCCACAGTCACCTGCTCATTTCGACAAGAACTTGAAGCCCTCGTGGAATCAGCTTTGAGCTTGTGAGAAGCGTTGCACGTAGTAAGTTGTTGGGAATGATGGGACAGATCAAGGCTGCAGGAAACGTGGTATATATAAAAGCAAAGCTCACACACAGCGACGTTTTCTTCTCCCCCTTTCTTTCGTCTTTTATTCTGTGTTTCTTTTATCCTCTCGCTGGTCTTCAGTGATGGTACTGTTTTAGTAAAACTGCAGGGTCGACATTAATGAATCCTTATTTCCATGTGCTTCAACAAGCTTGAGTTTGATGCATACTCGAAGATGGGGATTGTCGCTATTATGTGGCTGACAAAACTATTATCACTCGGCACTGGGCTCACTGGACACTGGGGGGATCCTCCATGTCTGGTGACCTAACATCATTGGTGAGTTCCATAGGTGATGAAGATCTTGACACAGGTGGAGTTCACTTCTTGTAGTGCCAGATTACTGCCTCTCTCATGTGCGGTAATTGCAAGAGCGATGCATTCTCTGGACGATGCAGATGTTACCGAGAAATTGCAACCATTGTGGGCATTCATGAAGTCGAACCTTAGGTGGGCGAGTTGCAATTGGCCAAACTCTGCGGTGATGATTCATTAGAGACCTGCATAACCAAATGCCGCTTGCCATTCAGGGTTTCGATTGGAAGCCAACGCTTTAGAGCTGTGGCGCCGCCCACTGCCCAACAGCTGAGGATCGTGAGCTTACTGAATTGGCAGTTATAACTTTCTTGGTTTTATTGTGTTAGCCTCATTCGACTTCATTTTGGAAGCAACGGAGTGAATGACAATGCCATGTCATATGACGTTGCAATGGGGTTCTTGGTACCCAGATTCATAATGCCTCTGAAGTGTCAACGGGCAGTAGAAAATTAATATATAGACATATAGATACAGAAATGAATTCTAGAACTGGGTCTAGGGGTATAAGACAAAAGTTGAAGACAAAAAAATGGGTTCGTTGGCCTTCCGAAAACTCACCGCGTCAGAGATTGCGCGGCAAAGGCAAAAGAAAATTTGAGATAATTGGCGCGTCGCTAATGATAGTTGTTGAAGTTTTCTGGTGTTTGATTCCCAAGTACCATCTGATTTGTTCTGATGGTGAACAGTACCGACAGCAGCTGCTTCTACAAGAACGACCGTGAAGTCCACGTAAAGACGTTTTCTGACGCCCCTGAGGCCCGTCGAGCTGTACTACTGACACACCGTTTCAGGATTGTTGCAGGAATCAAAAGGACGCACCAAGAGGGACGGATGCACATCTGCATGCCGATTGCTGGGCTCTGATGGAAGTCAAAACCTATTCAATCCCTGATTACTCATGTCGACCAGGCAGCTTAACGTCAACTAATTGCTTTCCGTTTTGTGGACGAGGGCCCCCTCCAGATTTCATCCGACAGGGATGGCCGGAGGTAGAAGGATAGCCTACAGCGTTACGATACCCTAGATGTGCTCGCAGGACGTTCACAAGTCTCATTCTCCGTCAGAAAAAAAAAAAAAAAAAAAAAAAAAAAAAAAAGGTGAGGGTTGGTGGTCGTTGGTGTACCTTGCGAAATTATAGCATCGACTGCATTCTACCACGTCGTAGCCTCGAATACGATCAAGCTGCCGAAACACTTCAAACAGCTAGCTCTTCACCAATTGGACACCAGCTGGCTACAGTACGGGGGAGGTTCCAAAGAAATCGTCAAGAGCATGCACGTCCGTGATCACCAGGCAGGCAACTTTTTCAACTCAGAACTGAGGGTTTGTGACTTCAGCGTCGTCATCGATCACGTGGTAAACAATTCATGAACGCTAACTAAGCTGCAAGCGGCGGTGGTGGTGTCTAACTGTAGTCTTGGCTACAATGTCCTCCTCCCTGATGGACTACTAATACAAGCACACGTTAATACTGGTTGTGCGGTATCACCACTGGTAGCCGGTCCATCACATTCAATTGAATCCTTCACAATCTTCGCCGTATAACACGCCCGCATATCTTCGTCCCCGATTTGAAAGTTCAAGCGAGCCTCACGCGATCTTCTTCTTCTTCTTCTTCTTCTTCAGCAAGCGATCACTGAATAATTTCCACACGAGATCTCCACCAGCCAGAAGCTTCAAGCCCGACGATGGCGTCGATATGAATGTGCCCGCACTCATTCATTCCCCATGAAAAATGCATCAACAGTTGATCTAGAGGTCATAAACTAATTACACTGAACAATAGAATGTATGCATCTCGGAATCGGTGCTTGTGCCAAAACCTGCTTCAAGCTGAAGCTTCGTTATATGTCACGCAAGTTAAGTGTTCTATGGCAGCAGCCTCCGTTAAGGCCTTTTTAAGATGGAACAATGCAATGCAACTCATTAGCGACTGGAGTAGCAGGCTCATTGCCGTTGATTGAAGGGTAGTTAGTTTGGACTCAAAGCCATTCATCCGTGGGAGATGATCATCTGTTTTCTTCGGCTGCACAATAGTTCATGTAAATCTGATCAATTAGCATCGTGCCTCAACCGAGGGGCGGTGATCCAAGGTTGTTATGCACACACGCATGCAGATTTGGACTAGGGATTAGTTAATAGAATTTTGAACAGAAACAAAGCTGGCTCGGTGTGTATTAGACTTGCACATTAGAATGTGAACTGCAATTACTTTTGATTTGTTAGACTGGGTCCGTTACATACACGCTACGGTCATGTTGGATGGCGGCATCGCTGCAAGGAACTTACATATAACCAGGAAATACTGAACATTAATTAAGAAGGTAAGGAAAGCCACACACACACACACACACATTCTCTCTCTCTCTCTCTCTCTCGCTCTCTCGAAAAGATCTGAGGCTGTGCTACTCCTTCTGATCTCTGAGAACTTTCTCGCTAGTCACTAATATCGTACTAAATAAAATAATCGTTTACGAATCGGCCTAATTTCTGAAATGAGCTGACCCACAACCAGGAAGTCCACTGGAGCCTCCCAATCATTAAGTTTCTTAACATGTTACTGATATCGTTACCTTGGCAATAAATCCCTAGAGCTAAAATACGAGTACAGTAATTCATATCTCTCTGATCCATTTCAAAATAAGTTTCTGGCAACTTGATCGCTGAAAGGTGCAAAATAATATTTGATGAATTATCTCACTAATGCGAGCGTTCCCTAATGCGAAATACTAGCACCCGTTATTCGATCTGGACGATCTTGCCATAAATCTCTGCAGCCGCTGTGGAGAAGCCAATAAATAAATTGAATTTGTTAAGGGAAGAATACACTGATCATTCTACTTGATCTACTTTTTTCCCAAGTGTGTTCTTGTTGTTGTGCATCCATACTTTTAGAACATGTCGCTTGACACCAACATCTGAACAGAACTCTTGCACGGCTGGCTCGTCGTGCTTCTGTATCCTCCAGCCCAACTTCTCCGAAAAGGCGCCCATTTTTTCTCTCTGATTCGAAGTGAACTTTGTTCGGAACCTCTTCTTCATGGTAGATGGCGACCTGCCAAAACCACCATCTCCATCTCCTGAGTTCGCTGGTCTGGGTCCCAACAAGTAATGCTGGAACTGATTCACAGGACTGATCATTTGTGATGGAGACGGAAGAGCCAATGGATGAGGAGTAGCAGTCTGAGAAGGAAATCCTGGAGCTGTCATCTGTCCTCGCTTTCTGTCATCGCATCGGAAAATTTGCCAATCACAACTTTCCTCTACCTCTACCTCTTTTCTGTGATAGTTCCTATGACAATCACAGGCTGCGCATTTGAGAGATTCAATTGTGCCTTCCTCTCCACTAGGCATAAACTCCCCGCATCCATCGACAGCGTAGCCTCCGGAGAAGATAGCGTGGTTTCTGTTACACTCTTTGTAACTAATAGCTTTGTCTTTTGCGCTCACATTCTCCGCTTCTATTCGCTTAAGTTCGTCCATTTTGATGACTCCGAAACCACTGTTGAAAAACTTCAGCTTACTTGAATCATGAAGGCCAGCGAAGGTGGCAGCGATTGACATCGTCGAATAATCAACCTTGTGAGAAACCAAAGATTCCATACCTTTGCTGGTCTTCACTTCTAAAGCTTCCGACAAACATGAAGCTCTATGTTTCGCTTTCTTCAAAATACCTGTTGTAGGGACTCTGCATCAGTTGGAGTAATTATTCAATCGTTCGGAATGTGGTCGGCACTCGTTAATGATTTTCGACGTTCCTGCTAGTGCATTGGTGAGAGTCGAATGAGTGCCTGGAATACATGTTTATACAGTGTGGCTCAAAAAGGTGTTCGAAAACAATGCAGCTAAATGTGGACTCATTTATACCGATCCTGCACTCCAAGCTTCTCACGCTGCAGGTCTCTATCGAAGCCTTCGAGATGTGAATTACAGTCTCTCAATGCCTAAAACAGGTTCCTTAAAGCTAGCGAAAACTGGATCGGAGAAACTTCCTCCACCTATACGCTCGTAAACTATCACTTTCTCCAGTCTTAAATGAAGACGGGCTTATGAATTCTGAATGAGCTGCCAACAGATTGCAGAAAAGTATTCTGAAGTAAACTGTGATGTCTGAGAATCACGTAATTGATTAGGTCCTCTGAAGCGCTTTGGTACTATCCAGGTTACGAAAATAACTCTCAAAGTATTCCGCTCATGTACCTGCAGTCACTGTTCCTGAGTATCACTCATGCAACGAATCTAAGGCCCAAGCTTAGCACTCACTGGAGCGCAGAATGCTCGGTTTACGGAAAAAAGAGGCCGTATTAACGTATTTTGCGCCAGTTACTAGAGCAGATTCGGATTAGAATATTAAACACAACTAGGAAGAAATTATATTGGGATCATGTTATAAAGAGGAAGTGTTAGCTTTCCACGAAGGAGCACACGGGAAACACCTTTAATTTTAAAAATTGCTTCAAATTTTGGAGGGTCACTTGAAGTCTTTCGACGGAGTTACTTGAGAACACGTTCAAAACTTGAAGCTCCAGAAAGTGAGTCTGCCACACTAAAGCTGGTGACATACATCCAGGGCTCCGATGGCAACATAAGTCACAACCACTAGAAACCTCTCAGGTTGCAGTGACACAAGACTCGAGGAACAGCAACTCCACCTCGCCTTCCCTCAGACACACCAATTGCAGCACATCAATTTCAAAAACACATACACACACAAACACACCAAAACAGCGGTCTCTTCTCCTGACCTACTAAATCTGCCGCAGCCGTGGCGCAGATTCTCCCTAAACTCTACCCTCAACACTACCACCTCACATGTACGAAACCTGCCAAAACATCGTCACTCATGAGACGCTTATCAAACAGCGTGGTAGTCCACCGCATACAGTGACTTCACTAATGTTTATTCCCCCCTCCCTTACATTCACGCAGATTACAACTGAGGTCCAAGTCTCAGACTGCACTCCCCCTCCCTGAATGACGCAATACTCCACAGCACCGAGACTAGTCTTGCAATGGTAGGTACATAAATAATAATCGTAAAACACAGAAAACAGACTCTTAAAACGTAAACAAAAATAAATAAATAAATAATCTATAAACGTAATAAAAGCCACGAACGATGAACGAAGAAGAAGACGAAGACGTAGCAGAGAGCGAGAGAGAGAGAGAGAGAGCCAGGGAGAGCTACGACGACACTGAGCACGAGGGGGGGAATGGTAGGAAAGACAGAGCAGACAAGACAATGAAGCAAGTGAGCGAGGGAGCAATGAAAGGCGGAGCTTGTGTGTGCCAGGGTGGCAGGGTCGGTGATAGGACCCCTCCTCCCGGACCCAACCCCACGTGCCCGACCTGACGCCCAATCCAACCCGGCGTGACCGCGATGACAAGCCCGTCTACTCGACGGATCTCTTCGTTCGTTCGTTCCCTCCATCTAGCGAGCATCTCCGTACGATAATTCATACCCCGTCCTTCCTGTGTGTTTTTATCAGTTACAGTGTGCATTTTTATGTTTCTTGTGCGCGTCTTTTACTTTTCCAGCTTTTGCTTTTTGGATGATTTTGTAGAATGGGAATTTTCATCCATCCGCTACTTCTTGTGCTGTTTATGTGGAATGCCTTAATAGTTGAAACAATGTATATTAGACAAACAATTCATTCTTTGTAGATTACTTAAGTGGCCGATCAAAAAAAAAAAAAAAAAAAAAAAGCAAAAGCAAAAGCAAAAGCATAGAAAAGAAAAGAAAAAAGACTTGAGAGAAGGAAATAGAGTTTTATAGAGAAGGAAATAGAGTTTTATAGAGAAGGAAATAATCTTCTAAATCCAATGGATAAATTTGACAGAAATCAGATTTCAAGAGGAATGTATTTTGTAAGGACATGAATCCATGCACAGCACCCTGCATTTGACCAATAACCCAATGGTTCATCACAAAATTATATCACATAGCATTATACTGCCTTTCAATAAGTAGTTCTCAGTTGTCAAAAATATATATATATATATATATATATAGATATATTGCAGTTTTGTGACCACAGCTTCCTTTGATCATAGAGTAGTACTCTTGTCTCATTAAGTGGATGATACAATAATGAATATCACAAGAACATGCATGGACTCAAAGGCATGCATGTATTCATTCATAATAGAGTGAGCAGTGGGGTCTCATTAGTTGATGTGGATGATATGATGATGATAAATATATCATTAAAATGTGGGCTTGAGGGGGGGGGGGGTGTTCTCATTGCTCCCCCCCACTCTACTCTATAACTTTACTCTGCCATGCATGCATTGTACCCCCCCCACCCCAACACATTCTATTATGTTTTGAGAAGTCAGTATGTATCTATCTATTTGTATATGGATGTTCACATGACTAAATTATGGCTCCGGGTGTACGTTGTTGGTGCCAGTAGAAGCAGCCTGAATACTTGAAATTTTGTATAGTTATATGGAGATTTTTTTGGGTATTTAAGTTTTTTAATTCACCATGTGTGTGTGTGTGTGTGTAAGATGTGATTTATTCGCAAAATCCTTACACCATAGTTGAGATTTGTTCTCAGTATGTGTACCCATAGATTTGAATGATATGTGTATGTAAGATTTCCACACCTTCTATGCATGGAATATCCATGATAGTGTGTAATTAATTATGAGTTGTACAAAATAAACTTGCTTAATCAATGTTTCAAAGATTGAGTTGAGATATTAAAGATAATTTTGCTATTAGAGTCAATATTGGTTCCTTCACTCCAAATTGATACCTTTTCTGCTTTAATTTGAACAACCTTGAATCCAAGCTACTTTGTTAGCAAAAATAAAGGAGGATATTTTACAATGGAAGGTGGGTCCAAACAAAACTTGAAATCATAATGAAGCTTGAAAACAACTGGAATTTGAATTTAGCTTAATATGGGGAAAGAAAAAACAAAAAACAAAAAACAGATATTCTTTGCAAAAAAATATTAAATATAAAATCTTTGATGATTATACACATGTGTATATAGCATTCACATTCATGTATATGTAAATGTGTATCATAATACACACATTTACTTGTATTCTTACACTCCTATAACAATGCAAAAAGCTTGCATTGATTAATTTAATGCCAAGATGATGAGTTGCATGGTAGGATACCCTTCATATCAACTCAACAAAAGCTGACAAATCCATATATACTTAATAGTATGCAAAATATCCATCTTTCTTTGTCTTATTCCTTTTGGTGTTTAATAGTTGAAGTATTCTAAAAAAGATGTATGCAGCAGAGAAGGATACAACTACTATGTAATGGTTTAGTGTTCACTAATAGATTGATACACTTTTATTAATTTGAAAATGGCTAGATCACTAATTATATAGTAACAAGGGCATAGCAATGTATTTTGTTGACAGAATTTTCACTAGCAGTTTTATTACCAACCAAAGTCATCAACTCTTTTTGCACCTTTATTTTTATTAAAATTTTATTATTTGAATATATATATATATATATATATATACCCACACATAAATAATATACCCTACAACACACACACACACACACACACACACACACATATATATATATATATATATATAAAAGAAATTAACTGACATTAAATGAAATAGAAGTATGGATTCATGCACATGTGCGCTGCCCCCTTGGCCCTCGCCCGGCCCGGCTTGATCTAATCCTACGTGGCCCTGGATTCACCACGAGGCAAGGTCCTAGTGGGGGGGGGATCGGTGATGCGCTGCCACCTCTTCCACTTTCATCGGCGAGTCTGACACACAACGCGTTCCCCAAAGTTGGGGAACGCGCACCCAACAACATTATTTAAACAAAAAAAACAAGCAAAAACACAAAACAAAACTAGGAGGGCATTTCCTTAGGGTTTGTTTGTTTGGGACCACAACAACACTTCCTTGGAACCCGATTTCCTACCTCTCACACTATTGTGGTGTATTTTTAAAAAATAAAAATGTTTGTTCTCTTGTGATTTTATTTATTTATTTATTTTTTCCTTCTTATAATGTTCCAATATTTCAACAGGAAAATCAATACTTTTTTTCATTATGTGTAATTTTTACATCTCAAATGTGGAGGAATTTAGAGTAGTGAATCAATATATAAAAGAAAGATCTATTGTAAAGATTTATTCATTATAATTTTTAAAAGTAGTGGTTTAAACTAATAGATGGTGAATACATTGCTCTACATTAATAAAATTTTGAGTTTTGAGGTTTATAATGATAATAAGATTGAATTTTTTTATAAGTAAATAAATATTATATATTGGATTTTGTATGATTTCAATTGATAAAATTAATTAATTTTCTATTATGATTATGATGTGATTTATGAGAAGTGTTATTTCCAAGTGCATAAAATACACCAATCCAAATCAATAACTCAATTAACTATGCATAACTTTTTTTTTAAAATGATTTACATAGTTTATTATAATTTTTTAATTTAAAGAGCATCAGAAATGATGTAAAGGAAATCATGTTGTGATAAATGTACATATTTCTTTGTTTCAATTATTTGTTAATTCAAAATAATGCTATTAAATATTTTCGACTTGCTATAAAACACAATAGTAGACTATTTTAAAATAAAACATATAAAGATCCATTTGAAATGGATGAATGTATCTATGTATCTATCCACATATAATGATTTGGTAAATTTACCAAAGAGTTTTTCTCTAAAACTTAATATTTTTTTATAGGATTTACTTTTGTCATAACTAATTAATTAAAAAAAGGAAGAACTAAAAATCTCCTATAGAATAATATACTAAATTATTCTCATATAGAATAATATATCTCATATAGAATTAAAAAACAAGGAAGAACTTAGTATATTATTCTGTATGAGATTATCTTTGTAACAGTAATATGTAGTTTGATTTATTTATTCATTTTAAAAAATGTTTTAAAACGTGGTTTTAAAGATGTTCAACTTTACAATTTAAAATGTATGTGCTGTATTTATGCCAAAGTAAAATGATCTCATGACTATCACTTCTTGAGTTTTTATGCCTTATATATTACCTCTTATTATACTTGATTTAATCTTATTACTATCACCTCTTAGAACGATTTTATAAATGGTATGTTTATAGCAAAATTATATTTATTTTGGTTTATTTTATTTAAAATTTATTTAAACTAGCACAAAATTATTGTTTAAGAAAATGATTTGTATGTTTTTTTTTATCTTTTAATAGGCCAACAAAATTATTTATATGCAGTAATTTGACTATGAAGAAAAATAACAAATTAGCTGAACAAGATGTGAGAGTTTTAAGTTTTTTGAATTTGATGGTTCGAATCATTTATTTTTTTGAAATATGTGTATCAAGAGAATCAAGTAGATGACAGAGAAATTCAACGTATAATATTATGATATTTAAAGACAGTTTTCAAATTCAAAAATCTTTAATTTTAAATGCTTATGTAATGGAAATAAATTCAAATATCATTATGTTAGTTATTAAATGGAATCAAACTGTAGTTGAATTTCCAAAAATATCGTTTGAAATTTCTGTATATTTGTATAATATCCCTTTGATTACAAATCTATTTCTTTCTCTTTATATTTAAAATTTCAGATTCTTTTTTAAGAAGTTCAAACTTCGAATATCAAAATGATAATTTAAAAATGTTTTAAACAACAAATATTTACTCAGGAAATATAAAAATTCAGTTTTCACCTAAAGGTATGAAAACTACTAATATGATTATAAATCACATTGAAAACATATTGGATTTTGTTGTACAGCAATAATAGCATTTTTAAAGATGTAGTTTCTTTTCTTTCAGTAATATTCTTTGATTCTTGTGTAAATCAAATGTCAAAAATATGAAGTGTGGCTATTATCACGCGGTTAAATCAAATCAGGTTAAAATCAATAAAAGTTGTTCATAAAACCTTCAACTCAAATGTGAAATGGGTGTTTTTCTTTTTTGTTTTTTTGCGATGTAAATTTACGCAAATGGCTGCTACTTTCAACGGGTTGGATTTTTAAAATCTGAATATATGTATTAGTATATTGGAGTCATATATATATACTTCAAATGAACAAAAATGAAATTTGGATCCACCTACGTTGTACTTTTAAAAATAAAAATCTTATCCAAGGTTAGCAATATTAAATAGACATATATTAAAACAAAAGATGTATATTTTTTTTCAAATTTTAAATTAATATAAAAAATTAATAAATTTACA